TCTCTCTCTCCCCTTCTCTCTCTCTCTCTCTCTTCTTCTTTAAGACCGGAAATTAGTAATAAGAGAAGCCTATTATAGTTTCTAGAATACCAGCCTGTTATGATATTCGGAATCTGCACATCTATTAATTCGGACGAAACATTTAATTATTACGGATTTTGAAACTCGAGTATCATCTGTTTTCGAAAAGTTCTTTGAATTTTGATTCCTTTTAACTAATTAAGCACATTATCTAGAAGCTACAGTAACTTTGTCAAATTAAAATTGATATTAGTTTTTTCAAACTTCGGATAAATATAAACGATTATACTATCATTCTCTCAGACATCTAAATTGATATATAATGAGAGAAATGTATATATTACCATTCATTTTCTTGATATATGATTAACAAAAACTTTCTTATTTTTTCATGAATAGTATTGTTCTGATAATCATGTGATTATCCTATGGCCTGTTTTCTGTTCTTGAGACTCTTCAGACTGCACTAGAACTCTCTTTCTTGCTTTCGAATATCATATATTTCTCACACTACAAGTATCATACATTTCTCACTTTAAGTTTCAAAAATGTACACTAGTTTAGTCACAGAAAACAAACCTCTAATCAAATTTTGGTTAGAAATAATAATTATGTTGTCCAAACTAAAATTTGGTTATTTTAACTAAATTTTCGTTAGAATAACACAACTTTTTAAATGAAAAAATAAGAAAGTTTTTGTTAATCATATATCAGCAAAATGAATTATACGTACTAAACATTCCTCTTAGTGCAATCTCGTAGTCAAAGAGCTAAGCGTGAAAGAACTTTCGTGATAGCACATTGTAAATCGAAGCTTATTTTTATATATATTTAAATATGTATCTCTTCCTGGCGAAAATAAAAATCGCAGCGTAAGTCGAATATATAAAGGGAAGCATAAATGAAGCTTCTAATTCTTCTAGAGGTGAAATAATAAAAGAGACATTTATGCTTCTTTCATGTTTCGTTATTTTAATTTTTGCTTCTTAAAAGTTTCATTTACACTTCTGTCATTTTCTTCTTATATTCTACTTATTTTTCGATTTTTATTTTTGCAGGATGAACTATATAATTCTCAATTTTTAGACAAAATATTTGTGATTATTTGTGATGATGCTCCAAAAAGAAATTTATTATTAAATATTCAGTTAATTCGGTTATGATGTCTAATATCTGTGCGAATTTCTTATTAATTTTATTAAACATTGTTTTTTTTATCTTGGTTATTTCTCAATATAATTTCAAATTATATAATATAATTATATAATTCAATTATTTTGCGGTATTTTATAAGCACCATCTTTTTCTAAATAAATTGCCGTTTGTTCAAAAATTATTGTTTTATGTTGCATAAAATTTATAAAGCCTTTTGCCTTATTGAAATTTTCTTATTAATAGAAATGCAAAAATGAAAAAGTTTTTCACCTCTTAGATATGTATGATTAATACTGATATTGAAGATTATAATTTCGTATATTTTTAATCTGTAAATTATAAAAATTTTTTAAAAATTTTATTTGAATCACATTTAAAAAAATTATATTTATATAATTATGTATTATAATTATATTTGATTGATTATATTTATATAATTATAATGAAAATCTGAGCAAAGACGAACTCATCTTTGGTCTGTTTTTCATTATATTTTGTATTGTATTTCAATAACGAGCAGGTTATTATTGTTTATCTTTAAATTTATTTACATTTGTTGATAACTAAAAGAATAATATAGTATTTTCTGCGGAATCTTGTTCATAATGCAATACAGTGTGACCTGCTTTGAAAATCTACAAGCGATTTTACCAATATATTATTTATAGGAAATATTTTCCATCTTCATATTTTATAAACTTCATACGTTTGCGGATTTCATATTAAGCTTATGAAGAAAGATTCATAAAAAAATATCACAATTAGATTCTTTTTCGAAGGAAACAATTTTGCAAGATGAAATAAAATTACAGAGATAGATTGTCCATAAATTAATACTAGATTGTATTTTATATTATTTTAATGCCTCTTGTCGTTGTATCGGTATAATTTTCACATAGCGTTGCGATATCTGTCATCGATGTCTTTCATAGAATTCTCCGTATCTTCGTCTTAATCAACATACATATCATTGCGTGTCTAATTTTTCTCTGTCTACTCACATAAAGCAGTTTACCCATATATTTTCGAAACGGAATTGTTTCAATAAAGTCCTTGACAGGTATGACATTAATCTTTCACGAAAATATTATTTAACAAGAAGTCGAAAATACACATGTATTGCGCCTGTCCTGGGAAGATATAACCTT